ACCTGGCTGCCATACTTAGAAACAGAAAGTTGGATCAGGTAGACTTTCGTCTGATATAACAGGACTCTTAAATCAGTATATTCTAATGATGAATTCTTGCTGAAAAAATAATTTTAAAAATGCTCCACTGGAAGCACTGTACACCCCGAAGAGGAATATGCTTCTGTCACTACAAGATCAACAGAGCTAGCTAGATACAAAAATGACTGTGTCTAAGCTAGCACACTTACTGCTGTCAAGGTACTTTGATTCTGAACAGAAATTTCCCCACTGTTTCAAATTTGGGCCTCCCATAACAAAAGATTGTGACTTGTGCCAAACTGTTAAATGTGGGAAAAGGGGAGCTGGGATGAGACCAACTAATCAAATTCTTCAACTTTTCACCTAAAGTAAGATTTGTAGCAGCCTGGTCTCCAGGGACGAAAGATTGATTATTGCACTGTTGGTTAGCCAAACCCTTTAAAAAACGACTTCTCTAGAGCTGAAAAGACAAACCCATGTGTGGTTTGCTGAAACAGAAATCCTACTTTCACATTTGACAGTTAAGGCCTCTCCTTCGGATCTTAATTTGGCAGGATAGAATGTCCAAGTCATTAATCACTGCTAAACCTTTATTAAATCTGCAGAAGACCTGTGCAAAATGGCGTAACACTTGGTTATGAATTATCTGAATTTCCAAAATCATTCAGTAACTATCAACATTGTTAATATACAAACCCCTGAAATGCAATTTTGGGCAAAGAGAATTTATGCAAGGCAGACTGAAAAGGCCTCGTTCAACATGGAACTACTCTCTGGTTGATTTTATGCTGTGAGCTTTCATGTGCAAAATGGCAACTGGGCAGAGGATGGAAGTGCATGATATGTGAGGAGTGATCACTCATTCCTGCCCACCACATCACTGCCAGGTTGCCGCACAATCAATAAACACACACACACACACACACACACACACACACACACATCACCTCATGCATTGCATCAAATGCAGGCCTGAGCCTGACTGAGTAAAAAGTAACCACAAACAAGTGAAGTAATGGATCATCCCGTAACACATGTTTTTACAAGTCTCCAAGGTACAATACCTGTTTTAGTCAAAACTAGATTTGTAGCTTGCCTCACTCATGCTCCTGCTGCTTCTATCATCAGATCAGCCATTGAATGGAGGTCGATTCACACTGATTGATTGATTGACTGACTGTGTTATATCCCACCATTCCCTCCAAAAGACCCTAAGGCAGCAGACAATGATCAAACGCTACAACCCCCATAGTTTTGAAACATTCTAAAAAGCAGCTTAAAACATTCTTAAACAGTGATCTCAGGTTTGCCGGGAACAGTGTCTTTCAACCATCAAATGGGTAAAAATGAATGCTTTTAAGGTTCCCCCCCCTGCAAAATCAATAATGAAGGAGACAGATGCACCTCACTAGGGAAGAGCTCCACAAATGGGGACCCACCACGGAATAGGTCACCACGGAATAGGTCACCACCAACCAGTCAGCCCCGAGTGTTGGCACCACCACCAAGGCCTCACCTGCTGGTTATATGAGCTATGATGAACACACAGTCCTCGCCACTGCAAACGTCATGTCCACATCCTTGGATTGCAACCACTGAAACCAATCCCACAAGTTGTAATTTGATGGTGCTCTAGAGACCTCCAACACACCTGAACCAATAGGGACAGCAAATTTAGCACAGCCCTGAGCAATTTCCTCCTCAAACTGATTCAGAAATCTTTTACAGGTCTGGATTTAAAGAGCTCTGCTGGGTGATGTGGTAGAGAGGGGAGCTCTGTTTGCTACCGTCACTGCCACTGACCAGATGTTTGGAAGCTGTGGCTGGATGGTTACGTGGAAGCCGGTTGAAGTTAAATCCTTCGAAGACAGAGGTCCTCTGGCTGGGACGGAACGATATGGGATTGGGGGGGCAACTCCCATCTCTTGCGGAGGTGCAATTAGTGCCAGCACCGTCCGTTAAGAGTTTGGGTGTAATCTTCGATACCTCCCTCTCTATGGAGGCGCAGATTACAGCTATAACAAAGGCGGCATTTTTCCATCTCCGCCAAGCTAAGCAGTTGGCCCCTTATCTCTCTCGCCCTGACCTAGCCACTGTGATCCACGCGACGGTCACCTCCAGACTGGATTATTGTAACTCGCTCTACGTGGGGCTGCCCTTGAGACTGACCCAGAAACTCCAGCGGGTGCAGAATGCCGCGGCGAGACTCCTTATGGGGTCTTCGCTGCGAGATCACATTCATCCGGTACTATACCAGCTGCACTGGCTCCCGGTGGAGTACAGGATCAGGTTTAAGGTGCTGGTTTTAACCTTTAAAGCCCTATACGGCCTAGGACCCTCGTACCTACGGGACCGCCTCTCCTGGTATGCCCCACAGAGGAACCTACGGTCTGCAAATAAAAACATCCTGAAGGTCCCAGGCCTCAGAGAGGTTAGGCTGGCCTCAACTAGAGCCAGGGCTTTCTCGGCTGCGGCTCCAATCTGGTGGAACGCTCTGTCACAAGAGACTAGGGCCCTGCGGGACCTGACATCTTTCCGCAATGCCTGCAAGACAGAGTTGTTCCACCAGGCCTTTGGTCAGGGCCCAGCCTGACTCCCTCCTCTGGCAACCTGCACAGAACTTTGCTTAACGGTTGCCATTAATTTGATTTTAATTAATTTTTATAATGAAATGTTTTAGAATGTTGGATTATTTGATTGATTATTTGTTTGTTGTTAGCCGCCCTGAGCCTGGCTTTGGCTGGGGAGGGCGGGATATAAATAAAATTTTTTATTATTATTATTATTATTATTATTATTATTATTATTATTATTCGTGGCTCTATTTAGTCAGATTTGAACCAGGACTTCTGTTCTAACCAACACCACTCCTGCCTCATTGTCCACAGCAAAGGAGCTTTTAAACCAGACTCCCCAAGGCCAGAGATGGTGCTTAAGAGTGATTGTGTAGATGGCCCTTTCCATCTCACTATTCCACAGCGAAACTAGGGCTTTGATAGGATCACAACAGCAGTGCGTAGTTGTCCTTCTTTCCAGTGGTGAGATCTACAAGATTAAATAAAGCAGTGCCAGCAATATCCCAAGGCAGATGTGGTAGATAATGTTTTGTAGAGGTACTAGTGGTGGGGACATTTCTCCCCTTTCAAAATAATGTCTGAGAGCATTTGCTCTTTGCCACTTGTGTATAGGAAGAACGAGGGTGTGAAGATCCAACAGATGTTAGCCTGTATGTCCATGACATACCCAATGAACTTCTAAAACATGGTGTAAATTTACTCAGAGAATTCACACAATCTGTGATGGGCTAGATGCATGGAGAGGAACTAGCAAGAGGGACACTGAAACTTAAACATGTTAGAATCACAATCTACACCTATTCAAAAAGCATAATGTTCTGAATTACCTGGCCTGTAATCCGATTATAAATCATTTTGATTTTATTTAAACATATACAACTGGATATAGTAATACAACTGGACCGCAGTGTGAGGTATGTCGATACAAAGCAATATTGATTGTTTTGATGTAAATGCTGAAAGTACTCAATGTTAAATCATTTAAAGGATCCTTCCTTCCATGCAAGGCAGAGCCCAGGTGTTAATTCTTTATGTCCATAGAAAGTACTTTTGCTATGAAGAATTCAAAACTTCTGGAAATGCTTTAATGGAAATAAGTTTGTTTTAAGGGAAATATTCTTCTAAACTGCAAAGCACTGAATACATGCGTAGTTTTTACGAGTCATGATTTCACATCCCCCTCTAATTATGACATGAGAATCGTAAAGGCAGGAATAATAAGTAGAGCATGAAGGTGTTTTGATTTCTGATGGGAATTATTAATTGGATCTCAGGAGTTGAGTGAACGTTTGTTTCTTCGCGTCTGCAAGTGCAACATGCCCCTTTTATGGCAGTTTAGCACTTCATCACCACGACGGGTGTCACAACTTGGAAACTCTTCATAAATAAATGCAGCCAATTGGAACAGCCAGTCCACATGAAATTTCAACAGTGTCTAGAGACCAAGGGTTGTAATGTTTACTGCCCCTCTAGCTAACAATGGAATTTTGGACTTGATGCAAAAAATCTCTTAAATAATAACCGCAAAGTTACAAGATCTTCTGATTTGGAGCTTAGCTGCTGCTGGCATTTGTCGACAGATGTCTGTTAATCAGTTTTTATAGGCTACACGATTCCCAGAAGGAAAAAAAAATTAATGCACAAGGTTACAAATGTTGCACGACATTCCAAGATTAGACAGTAGTGGAAACTCTAGAACCTTCTTCTAGTTCCTTAAAAGGAGCCAGATCTGCCTTTTAAAAATACACAAACACAAACACATCACTTCCAAAATCAAAGCAGTCATAAAAAAACCCGAATAATTTTCTGCACTTAAAAATCTAAAGCTACGAGAATTTAAAGCCTATCTGAAGGACGAAAACATTTATTTTTGCCAAAAAAGTGACAAACTAAAATCAAGGGCTATAAAGGATTAGCTCTTGTTGTGGTAACCAAGTGCAACAACTGCTAGCTCCTCTCCCTGTGACTGGAGAGAATTGTGAGTAGATTTACAGGTAGGACTGCCACTCAGCACATCAGTGGAACAAAAGGACTAGCTTAATAATGTGTATGCCGTCACCAATGGATACTGAAGATGTAGTTGAAAGACAGGTCTCAAATGCCTAGTGGTCACCATAGCCCTCTGTAGCCTCACACATCAGATTTCAGCTTGCAGAATGGGTATAGGAAACAAAAAATTACAACATGCTGGTTTTTTACCAAACAGTCCTCCCTGGTCTTCTTGTTGAAAGCATACTTGCTGTAGCACTTTGTGCCTACTGAAATCTGTTTGTTCCCATTTCGAGAACTCTTCCATAGTAAGTACGAAATCAGGGAGGAAAGTTATGTGCCCAAATAAACTTGGATGTCTTCCATCAGCTTCAGAAAGATTGTGAGAACAATCTAGAGAAAATACAAATAGACAGCAAACCTATAGCTCAGTTAGTTGGTAGAACATGAGACTCTTAATCTCAGAATTGTGGTTCTGAGACCCACATTGGGCAAAAGATATCTGCATTGCAGTTGTCAGGAGCTCGTCCTACACTCGAGTAGGACCCTGGCAGAGACACATGCCCGACTGGCATGTTCTCCCCCTCCTGGTCGTCCGTTCGGGAGCTTCAAAAGCTTTCTTCTGCCCGAACAACACAGTGACCAATGCCAACAGACATTGGCACACTTAGGGATCCGCAGAGTCTTCACAGCTTACGTAACAGAACTCAGCATTTTGACTAATCTACTTTATTTACATATAAACACACAAGAAGCACTGCAACATGGCTCCCTCCCTCTCTAGGATCCGACAGCAAAGAGAAAAAGAACAAAGGACAATAGTCCCACTTCACGGAACACAGTAACACAAACATCCTGTCTCCGTCACTTTCCACTCTGTGGAGTCAAAACATGCACCGTCATGTGATAGACAACAATCCCATGACTGCAATCATGGAGCAGGAATCTTAACAGCAGGGGGTTGGACGAGATGACCCGCTGAGTCCCTTCCATATCTAGGATTCTATATAAAGTGGTACCTCAGGTTAAGTACTTAATTCGTTCCATAGGTCCGTACTTAACCTGAAACTGTTCTTAACCCAAAGCACCACTTTAGCTAATGGGGCCTCCTGCTGCTGCCACGCCGCCAGAGCACGATTTCTGTTCTCATCCTGAAGCAAAGTTCTTAACCCGAGGTACTATTTCTGGGTTAGTGGAGTCTGTAACCTGAAGCATATGTAACCTGAAGCGTATGTAACCCGAGGTACCACTGTATGCCACTTTTTTGATCCAGTTCCAAAGCCAATTCAACACATTAGCTCCCAACCAAAAAATAAGGGGTTCTATGAAGGGGTTCCCTGTTCTATGAAGGTTTCTGGGAAGCTGTGAAACCCTTCAAAAGAGGTTTTTGCACACACCCCAAACTACAATTCCCACAATTCTTTGGGGAAAGCTATAGCATATAAGCCAATTTCAGACTGGTTCAGACCTTTAATGCAGATATAACAGCTGTAAATCATTCAGCAGTAGGCATCTGGTTGCTTTTCCACCTGTGAAATATTATGAATGATAATTTTATGTATTTATTTATAAAACTTCCTTCCTCAGAACGACCCCAAGAATATGTACATCAAATGCAAGATCAAAGTACAGTACAGAACTAAAAACATACATAAACTAGCTGCAGACAATAAAGACCACAATCTAAGACAGAGTTAAATGTTCTAAAGACACTGGGATCAATAGATGTAAGCACTGTCTGTTGTTAGATTGTGGCCAAAATTTGTGAGCAGTGAGGTAGAAAGCCAGCAATCCTGATTATCTGTAAGCGAAAAGAAATAGACTCTTTTTTATCATCAGTGCTTCTGAACTAGAATACGAGGCATAAAAAGCATTTCTACATGTTCACACACAAGAGACAACACAGAATGCCGAGCAAAACTTTAAAGAACAACTGGAAGCGAAGCAGTAATCCAGCTAGCTAAAAATCTTTCTGAATGGTTGCCTCGTTGTATTACAATATCTGTCAGCCACCAAATCCAGACTCATACCGAGGCTGGATTCCCAAGTAGCTATAGAAAACCAAGGACTAGGGCTGATGGGTCCATTTGTGATCTATTAAATATAGAATGGTTTGATATGTAAGAATTGTGCTGATGCAGTGCCAATTATAATTTCATTAAAGTAAGTTATAGAACTAAGATACTCTCTCCTTCTCAGCCAGCACATTCTCCGCACACATGTTCACCACATTTTCCAGCCCCTTGATTGAATAAAAATAGGTCCAATGACTATGATTCAACAAGACTGGATTCTCCTCAGATCGTATAAATCTTTCGCCTTTTTAACAAGACTTGGTAAAACTATTTAAAATATTGGCCTGGTACAAAAACAGATCACAGAATCAAGCCAAATATCTTTAGATTTATGTACAGTTCTTGCAAATCAAACTTAAAGCACAGCAGTAAAAAAAACAAAAAACTACTAAATTCTGGGCTATGAAACACAAGTTGTTGTCATGGGGGAAAACGGGTTTCATCCAACGTTGTGTGAGCAGAAGGCAGCAGGGGTGCAGAAAGCTACCAAACATTGTGGTCTGTGTCATTTGGAAATACATAGTGAGAGGAAGAGAAATCGCCCTGAATCAGGAGGAAGAATATTGCGTCCCACTGAGCAAAATTCTTCCACTGAATTTTTGAACCAGCAGTTTTTGACGGTTCAAAGAAGGGTTTTGCATTCAAATCCCCTTCTAAAATGAAAGAAAAGACCTTCCTTTTAGCAGGGGTGAATTTTACAGCAAAGTGATGTTTTAAATTGCGTGGTTAGGGAGTTAAGAAAGCAGCAGCCAAGCATCTTAGCATTCCATTGTACATGCATTATTACTATAACAGTGAGCTTGGCCCTCATGCAGGTAGCGAATTGCCACTCCGGCTCCTACACACCCCTTTGTGGGAGAGTTAAATCAGAAAGTCTACATCATAGAACTTTACCTTGGGAATATTTTCATAGCTTCAGGTTGTGTCATAAGGACAAGCAGTGGGTGGATGTTGGGTTCATGCAAAGAAGTGTGTGACTGTGCCTTCAGGCTAATTATATGATTATTACAGGTGTGGGCTTTGTGAAAACCTGTAATGAACACAAGTTAATGTTACTAATATAGATTTTTAAAAAACATGTAGCTTAAGGAGTGTCAAAAGAGAGATGGGTTTTTTGGGTTTTCCCCCTTTAGGTTTCCGGTTCACCTAGGTTGCCTTGTACGCTGGGCCGTTCCCAGGGCCAGTAGCTGGGATTCCTGCCTTGGGGGATAAGGGAATGCCACTTTCCCAGACTCCCAGCGCCAAGGCAGGTGCAAAGGAGATGCAGCAACTTGCAAAGAGCAATTAAAGAAACCGCCCGAAACAAATGAAACTAAAAGCAGTTCTTAAAAGTTACATAAGAAGCCACCTCCCACAAAAGATTCTCACTGGTTCATTTCAGTCTTCACATTAACTACTATTTCATAGCCAGAAGCAACATGAATCCAAGGCTCAAGGAGTGCCAAATTAAGACTCTTTATCTCACATTCCCCATGAAAAAGAATTTTGTTTTGTTTTTACTATTTCTGCCCTTTCCTGAAAGTGTCCCCCCCCCCCCAATTTCATCTGATCTTGTTAGCAATGAGTCTGATTCTAGTAATTCAGAATTAAACTCAAGACAAATTATTCTACTAGGCTTCTGTCTGTTTCACACAGAGCCTTCTTTTGTAGAAAAACAGTTAACGTAATAGGGAAAACCACTGACTGTCACCTCCTTCTCCTTCTTTGGCCTGATGGATAACGCAAAATGAGCTTTATGGCGAGGAGCTTAACAATGCAAAGCTTCTTGACAAATTTTAACTTTCTTTTCTATTGTGTAAATGTTAAAATATATTGTAACATGCTCACAACCGCAGGCGAAACATTAAAATGGATAACCATTATATATTTAACAAGATAGGAACAAGTTGCTACTATCGTCAAATTGTTCCTATGCACACCAGGATTCAGATTCTATAAACACGGAGAACATGTCATTTGATAATGTATTCCCATGCTTCTAAGCGTAGAAGATGATGGGAGTGAGACTGTTTCCTACTTCACAGATTCCTTTTGCCTTCCAGCAATCTATTCTGTAGGGTAAATTAATTGTGGGAATTACTCATGGGGTGGTGGGGTGGGGGAAGAAGCAGTAATTAATTCCTACATTTAGACGTCACCAAACTGTTCAGAACTCCCACTAGCCAATCAGACATGAACTTCCTTTTTTTGCTGTAATGAGAGTTGCAAAATAAGGCAAATACTGCGCAGTTTCTGCCTGTAGGGCATGGGGGCTTTGACAAACTGTGATCAGTACACTGAAGATCTAGACTTGATTGCTACCTTTGCTGAAAAGATTAACTGACACACCTTTCTTTAAACAAATCATGTTCTTTAGTTTTACAAAGATTTATTTCTTCAACTCTGGCTGTAAGCTACGGGTATTACGAGTCACAAACTTCGTCTTAACTACACTTTCAGCCAAATTATCTACAATTATACAGTGGTACCTCGGGTTACAGACACTTCAGGTCACAGACTCCACTAACCCAGAAATAGTACCTCGGGTTAAGAACTTTGCTTCAGGATGAGAACAGAAATCACGTGGCAGCAACGGGAGGCCCCATTAGCTAAAGTGGTACCTCAGGTTAAGAACAGTTTCAGGTTAAGAACGGACCTCCAGAACGAATTAAGTTCTTAACCCGAGCTACCATTGTATCTACCTTTATTTACATACCTTTATGCATCTATATTGGGGTGGGTAAATTTTTTGTGGACCCCCTAAATTTGTCCCTTTTTCATCCCCCCCTCCCCGCTTCTATGGGTATGATGCTATGAAGCCAAAATACTTGTTTAGGGCTCCCCAAATTTTCCATTTAAAAAAACAAGCACAAATTTTGTATTTATTTTTACTGACAGTTCTCATATGCCATCTCACTGTGATACCATGATGCCAAAAGTTTTTTTTATAGCCCTTCAAGTCCGCACCCCCAAATTTGCCATTATTTTTTAAAAATGCTTCTTTTTAAAAAAATGTTTTTTTGTAATGTTTTCCTCTTTGCTCTCATAGAATTTTTTGTGGTCATCCAGCCCCCCCCCCCCCCGTTTTTTAAAAATTATTATTAAAAAGAACATAAGAGGAGAATTTTGGATCAGGATGAATCAGGCCAATGGCCAGTCTAGTCCAGCATCTTGTTCTCACAGTGATTCCCAACCAGATGCCTGGGGGAAAGCAGCAAGCAAGATTCGAGCTCAAGAACAACTGATATTCAGACGCATTGCTGCCTCCAAATACGTGGTGTCGGGCCCTTCCTGAGCAGTAGTTTCCAACCCATTTTCTGTCTTCAGACTCCACTCCAGCTGGTTTCACCTAAAGTAATAAGAAGATGATTCAAAATCCCAATCTTCAAGTACCACTGAAATCTGATTCCCCCTAGGAGATTAAAGAATAGCAGCTCCTCA